AGCTCCCTGACAGGGAGGGAAACCTGAGCAAAAGGACATGGGGGGCTCTCAAACCTCACCTCCTGCTGAGGTGACAGGCACTGCTGGCAGCTAGGAGATGAGGGGGATGCATGCATCCCCATCAACACAGACATTCTGGTGGCTTCACTGCTGCCCCGAGAAAGCACCTTGAAAATGAATTCTTTCCCCATGGCAGCAGCTCCACCCTTTTTCCCTTTATTCCTTCCAATCTGGTGACTTAAGCTCCAGCTCCAAACTCAGAGCAGAGGGAAGCAAGGAAAGGAGGCAAAACATCAAAGTGCAACCTCCTCCCTCCTGGGACACATGTGCACTCAACAGAAGAGAGATGGGCAGGCTCCACAGAGGCGGAAAAACAATACAGGGAGAGAGGGAGCAAAAGGACTCCTGGCTGGGGCTGTTGTACAGATCAACTGGGTCTCATCTTATTGAGGATTTGCAATCCCAAAGCATTAGGTGCCAAAATAATTAATATTAATAGGATGTACGCTACTGGGAAAACTGCCACAAAGTCCTGCCAGAACCACTGCCACCTAACACACTGCTGAGGTCAGAAAATTCCCCTGGGATGGCTTCTCCCAAGTAGACAAATTGCACAGGGCTTCTGCTTTCCCTGCCAGCCCCAGACACAGAGAAAGAGCTCTACAGAATCATCTTTGGACTATTCTTGTCATAGTGGGGCCAGTACAATAAGTTGAGGTACCAGTTGATGCTCAAAGTGCTTACAGCAACTTTTCTTCCTTTCCCCACAGCCAAATCCAGTTTCCTCACCCAGCATAAAAAGCTCAGGATACCAGCACAGAAGAGAGCAGGGTTCAAATAGAACCCCTCAGAGGAAATGGCCTAGAAGTGGGAGGAGGAAACATCCAGGAAAGCCAAGCTGCTGGGAGAGATCCGGGTGCCGGAGATGCAGTAATGTGGCAGGATGCACTCCCAGCAAAACACATGGCGCTGCAGCGCAGCTCGGGGCTGCAGATGGTGAGGCTTTGGCTTGGGAGGTGGTAGCAGCAGCAATTTTGCCCCAATTGCATCCATACCTGTCAGAGGTTTTATGTTCAGCCCCGCAGCTGGCCAGCTGGAGGCACTGGGGGGGTTTCAAGCAGCTGGGGACATAGGTGAGATCTGGAAAGACTGGCTTGCGACAGCAGGTTAAGGAGCGGCAGATGCCTGCTCTGGTTGAAGAAGGGCTACAGGGGAGGTGATAACAGCCTCTAAGTATCCGAAGAATGTAAACACCAAAGAAGGAAAAGGGACAGGGTGGGAGCGAAGGAATGGCTCCTGGGTGGTACTAAGGTGCCGAGATGGAGAAGTGGAGAAGAAGACGCTGTGGCAGGCTGAGAAGGCTCAGTGTCGGAGCGGGCAAACGGGATGGTCAGATGTGTCCTTTCATTACCAGCCTCTGCCACCACCGCGCCTCCTGCTCTTCCTGCTCCCAAAGGCTCCTCAGGATCCCAGGTCCTGGAGCACTGCTTTCTCTCATCTCCAGGAAATGGTGCAAGGGGCTCTCAAGCCTCCCGGAAAGCACAGTGTCTTCTCTTCTCCAAAAAGGGAACCCGCTCCACAAGGCGCGGGCCCCAGGCCAAAACACAAAGCAAAACCACTCCAGCTCAGTTCGGTGAAAGCAAAATCGCTTCCAGGCTGGGGCACACATGCAGCTCCCGAATCTACACGTGCAGCGAGAGCCAGCGGGCGACAGGCTCTCCCTTTCCCACTGGCCCCGTGCGAAGCGCTGGCGGGCACAGCCCAGCCTGTCACCTCCATTACCCCACTTTGCTCAACATCCTTCCTCCCGCGGCCGGCAGCCGCCTGTGCCAAGGAAGGTTCGCCCCAGGGGTGGGATGTTTCCTGCCCCAAACCGCATCTGTTTCCCACAGGGAGCAGGAATTCCCCACGCTCGAGGGGACACGAACTTCTCATCCGACTGCGGTCATCGGTGCGGTGAGCTGGCCTGGCCTCAGCCCGGTCCACGCTCCCGCTCATCTGGGTGGGGTGGTGCCCGCTGGGAACCGAGCGGCCACGGGGAGCCCTGGGGATGAGAAAAGGGAGCCAGGGAGGCACCGCCACAGCCCTTGAATCCCAGGTCCAGAGTCCCACGGGGAGCAGCGGCTCCAGAGACTCCTCGAGCAGAGGGACCCCCGGAGTTGGCGGCTGACAGCTGGGAGCCCACCGCCCGCTCCCAGTCCCGGTCCCGGGCTGTGCCCCGAGCCTCGGGGGAGAAGCCGCCGCGATCCCCGCCCGCCAAGCCCCGATCCCCGCGGGCCGGTCCCGACTCACCGTCATGGCGGGGGCGCCGCGGCCGGCGGGGCCGGGGTCGCGGCGGGGCCGGGCGCTGGCAGCCAGGGCGGCGGGGCGGCTTCAGCGGCCGGGCGGCTTCCACGGCCCCACCATGCCCGCTCCGCCGCCCGCCCCGCGCTCCCCGCCCGCTCGCCTCTTTCCTTTTTTTTTTTTTTTTTTTTTAATTAAAAAAAAAAAAAGGAAAAGGAAAGGAGGAGGGAGAAAAAAAAAAAAAAAAAAAAAGGAAAAAGAAAACCACCCCAAAAAACTTTTCTTTCCTCCCCCCGAACTTCCTGGGAGGGCCCGGGCAGGCCAATGGCAGCCGCCGCCGCCGCCCCGGCCGCCCGCAGCCAATGGAGCCGCCGGGGCGGGCGAGGCCGCCGGTCCGCACGGAAAGGGGCGGTGGCTCCGGGAGCGGGGGGACGGGATGGGTCGGGGGCGATGCTGGGGACGAGCCGTGTCCTCCTTCCGACCCTCAGGCCCGGCCAAGGGTGAAGCCCTGGGAGGGACGGGATGAGCCGTTGCTGCCCCGGGAAGGGACCGTCGGGAGTCCAGCCCTTACCCAGGCAGGGTTTGCTCTCAGGCTGGGATTTTTCGCAGGCAGGGATTTTTAGCAATACACGCAGTGGGGTCCTTGCCTTGGCTCCTGAGGCTGATCGGTGTTATGCCCCGACCACTCAAATGAACTGCTCTAGGCTCTTGGCAGAGGTGGTAGCAGGTCAAGTGGGGGCTGCTGGTGTTCCTGGAAAGGCACTTGGCCTTGGGAAGGGGAATCACTAGAGAGAGTCCCAAAGGAAAAAGGGCAGGGGCTGTGTATCATGAAATGCCAGGCTCTACTGTGCAATCACACCGAGGCTATGCTTCTTGCTGCCAGGCAAAGAGAAGGTGCCTGGCCCAGAGCTTAGTGCTGAAGAAACCTGACACAGGTGGGATGATCTGGCCTGGTTGTACAGGGGAAGTTCAGGGCTTTGGGCTCCTCTCTGGCCTGGGCAGTGAAGGGAGGGAAAGGATGTCACAGGTTTCGAGTTTCAGAGGCCTTTGGCAGCCTCTTTCCTGGCTGCAGTTTGTCCTTGTATAAAGCACAAAGCAGAGGACAACCTGGCCGAGATGACTGATGCACACAGAAGGGGATAGAGGCAGGAACTCGGGTGCAGCTGCCAGCTACATGGGCTCAGGGGACACTTTCTGCAGCCCTCCAAAGCTGCTCTCATGCCATTTCTGGTATTCCAGGAACACCAACACAATTCACCGTATCTTCTTTCATGCCACTAAAGCCCATTTCATCCCTGTAAAATCCTTAGTGCCATCACAGCACTAGGCAATAAGTCCTCTGGCTTTATAAACAGGCTCTGTGCCTCAGTGCCTTCCCCCTCCCCCTACCTTCCCCAAGAAATGGGCAAAGGATGCAGTCAAGGGGAATGTTACTGATCATGGTCTCCAGGAGATCATGGGAAGGCAGCAACGTGCTGAGCCTGCTCAGATCAAGTGCTGGAGACCTAGGTCCTGCCCTCAGGGATCCCCAAGGAAGGGCAGCTGCCCTTCCTCACCATTCCCAGGGCCTGGCGCCTACCTTGTGCTTCTTACTGGCATTCAAATGTGGCTGCGGGCTTCCTGAGGAGCTGGTGCTGCTTTGCAGTGGGAAGGTGCTTCCACTCAGCTGAGGCTGCAGGGAAAAGAGCAGGAGCTGAAGCCACTGGGGTCTAGTCCTCACCTCAGTTTCCCAGATCTGAGCATCTGCTACCTCCTGGCATGGGCCAGGGAAGAAAGCATCCTCCCTCCTCCCAGAGCCAGCCAGGCAGCTCAGCTCCCCTGGAGAAGCAGAGGATCCAAGGGAGTCAGGATGCACAGAATTGCAACCCAGGGGACCCACACTGTGCTTGCCAGGTTTATGCCTGCCACGGTCCCCATCACCTCTGGCTCCTGCCCTACTCACATGGTAAATGAGATGACTCTTGTTCCCCCAGTCACTTTCCAATGGCTTCTCTGGGTTGTTTGTGTCTCGGGTGTGCTCGGGGCCCTTCCAGTCCTCCTCCAGATGCTGTGCCGGACTCTCAGGCCTTTTCCAGCTGTCATCTGGCTGTAGTCGTACATCCAGACCTCTAGCGGGGCTTTTCCAGTCCCTTTCCAGCTGGCGCATCACATCTGCATGGCACATGGGCATCTCTTGGCGCTTCCAGTCCTTCTCCCACACCTGTGCTTGGTGGACATCCCCCCGACCCTTCCAGTCCTGCTCCAGTGGTCGTGTTGGGCTCATGGGGCGTAGGGGCTTGCCTCGGCCTTTCCAGTCACTGCTGTTGCCCTTTCCAGGTTGGGAGGATGTCAGCTTTTCCCGGAGGCTCTGCCAGCCACATTCAGATGGCTTCCTGGGCCCTGAAATGTGCAGCGGCTCCCCTGGCTTCACCCGTTGCCTCTCTGCTCCCCGCACCAAGCTGGGAGGAGAGATCTCCTTTTGGCTTTTCCTTGTGCTCTGCATACATCTTGCAGGACTGAGGGACTGTGGTGGTGGCCCTGCCCAGCTCAGCCTGCTGTTATCTGAGACCTTCCCAACACCTGTGGGGTGCAGAGAGTCCCCTCGGCTCCTCTTCTCCAGCGTTTGCCGTGTACTCCCTGCCTGCCAAGTGGCTCGGCCCCTTTCTGAGTTTGGAGGACGGCCAGGCTCCCCTTGGGTTCTCCAGCTTCTCTCAGAGCGACAGGGAGGGCTCATGGGCTCACCTGCCCTCTTCTCCAACCTGTGGGCTGGGCTTGCAGAGCGTGGGCTTCGGCTGCCTCTTTCCAGCAGCCAGCCAGGGCTGGCAGGGCACGGGGAGTCCCCTCGCTTCCTGCTGGCCTTCTCGGAGTGCCGAGCTGGGCTGTGGGAGCGCAGGGGCTCCTTGGGGTCTCTGCTGCGCTGCTCCAAGTGCCAGGAGACTCGCTGACTCTAAGGTCATGAGGGGGAGAGAGAGCAGAGAGTCCTCTTAAGAAAAAAAAACATGCTGGTGAGCAAAACAAGATTAGGGCTGGGAGGTGATTTGGTCAAACGGTTGCCCAGAGAGCAATTGCATTCCTATGCATGGAGCCAGCTCATACTGAAAAAAGTCTCTTGCACCCAAAGGCTGCAATTTAAGAACCAAGGATCCCAATCTATGACAAAGGAAGGGCTGGGATTAGAGCAAAAGGGGAGCAGGGGGATGAAAGAGAGAAGCATGTGGCAGAGATAGAGGAAAATGCGGCTGGAGAAAACAACCCAACTTGGAGAGCTGGGATGAGGTCCTGCTGTGCAGCTAAGACTCACCTCCCTGGGCAGGCTGGGGCTGGACTGCCTCCGAACTAGGTGGCCTTTGCTGGGTGGCACTGGCGTCTTGCCATCGAGTCGGTCCACTCGGCCCTCCTCCAGAGCTTGGAAGGCCTCCAGCGTCTCTGATTTCCTGTGGACACACACAGTTTGTGCAACTGTCACCATGCTTAGCTTGGAGGCAGAGAGGCAGAGCCCCTGCTGATCCTGCTCCATCTTAGCCTGACTCCACAGACCTCCACCTGTCCCACACATTCTGCACCATGACCTCTCCCTGTCCCCATCACTTCAACCACTTCAGCTTCTGTATCCTGCTGCCTCACCCATGTTTTCTTCACACCATTCCTCAAGCTTCCCTCCATCTGGTCCTTTGCATCCCACCCACCTGCCCAGGATACTCCCCTGTTTATGTCCCCTCCTGCCCCGTGCCACCAACACTGGAGCTGTTCTTGCTTCTTCGGCCAAAACCTAACCAGCTACTAGGTATATCTTGGTATACCTCATCCTTTCCTGAGTAGCATCTACAGTGGATGCTGGATTCCTGGGGAGCCACTGATGGAACAGTGGGTCTGGGGAACACCTCTTTCCTTCCCTTTTCATTGCTGCTTTGCAGCACATCCTCCAGCTTCCAGAATGCAACCGTGAGGATGAGGAAGGTGGGTTGCTCCCTTCCAGCAGTGCAGCCTTTGCTCCACCTTTCCAATGCCCTCAGCTGCCTGCCATAATGTCTGAGTTCTCCAGGTTGGATGGCACTGAGCCTAAACCCAATCCTTGCTTTAAGAGAAATATAAGCACAGCTGAAAGCTGAGCTTTGCCATCTAGCCCTGCTGTCCCCATGAGGCATGGCGATTAGGGGGTGGGGGCCCCCTGAGAGCACAGAGGGGCAATCCCCCACCTCTGACCATCATGGGGTCCTGTTGCTTCTCACCTGCGTTCACAGCCAAATATCCTCTCCACCTCCACTCGGCCAGGGCTGAGTGTCCGGGAACCGTAGCGGTCAACAGCATCCCGCTGTGCGAGGCGCTTGGGCTTGGGCAGGTCTGCCAGCACTGTGTACTCCTGCCTCTCCAGCCCGTGCCGCCCCTCTGCGCCCCCGCTGCCGGAGTGCCCGCGGGACTCCCGTACCCGAGACCCAGCGAGGTGCCCACTGCCACCTGAGGGGTCGCTGCGGGCCGACGGGGAGCCTGCTGGGGTACGTGGCAGGGTGGATGCCCAGGGAGGGTCAGTTTTCCGGTGTTTCGGCCAGATTTCCTCAGGCTTCTGGCTGGCAGGACGGTGCTCTGGGACGGGGAGAAGGCCGTTACTGGGGGAGGCACGAGCGACACGGGATGCCACCACGTCCACGGCAAAGCAGGTCTTCGGAGGAGAGCTAGAAATGGTCCAGGAGGGGAGAGATAAAACCCAGACTCCCTCCAGGCAGGGTGGGAGCGCTGGGACACAGCACTGCAAGCCAAGGGCATGCCAAACCATGCAAACAGAGAACACCTGAGAGATCCAGGGTTTGTGGTCAGCACACACAGAGATGGACTCTCACATGGTGCCCATGGAGGTGTTGAACACCTGGGACCACAACTTGATAAAGAGATGCTAAATCTCAATAGAGATCTGCTGTGAACTTCAGAGACCCCTGGGTAGAAAGCAAACCAGAACTAGGATCTCACACGGGAACAAGCAAGAGTACCTGCTTTCAGTGGGCAGATTTCTTTCCTAGAGCCCTGGGCTTCAGTTCTCACCCAGGATCCAGAGCGAACGGGCTGAGCCCACCTGGATCTGTCTGCCTGAGGGGCTCGCGACCGCACCTCCTCCTTATGGCCCATGTAGCTCATCATGTCCTGTTTGCCCGATCCCACAGTGTTGTCCCACAACCGGGTCATTTCCCCCTCCTGGGAGACAAAATAGGGCAGATCTCTGCAAGGGGGACCAGTAGCTTTTGTGGGCTGGAAGGATGTACAAGCATATATGAGAAGTTACAACCTGTTCAACCCAAAGCTGCTGATAAAAAGGAACCAGAAGAGGAGCTGTGTGAGTGTAAGATGACCCCAGACCAACAATGAAAGAAACAGCATAGGAAAGCACACATGGGGCAATCCAAGAGTGAATCTCATGTGCTCTTTAGGGGGAGAGCCTCCTTTGTGAGGACTAAGAGTCTCAGCTGATCCCCCCTTGTGTCTCAGGACCTAAGAAACATAGAATATCTCAAGTTGTAAGGGACCCATCAGGACCATAAAATCCAACTCCCTGCACATGATGGGCTCCTTTTTCTGTCTGCAGGAGAGCCAAAGGGATGAATTCAACTTGTCTGCGTGCCCAGAAACCCTCTGAATGTGCCCAGCAGAAGTGGCATTGAAGGGCCAAGGGGACTGGGGAGACCAGAATAACCCAAACCACAAGAGATCCCATCTCACCCTGGCAAGCGTGGAGTTGGCTTCAGCACAGGCGCTAGGGTCGGTGCCAGTTTCTCTGTGCTCACCCTCAGCTCCGGGGCTGAGTGGGGGATATCGCCTGCTCTCGTGCCAGCTGTGGGGCAGGGAGAGAGGACAGCTGGTGGTCAGCAGAGCCCGCAGAGCTCAGGGGCAGGTGGCAGCACTGGCAGCCCAAGCCACACTGGCTCACTCTCTACTGGATGGGCAGAGGTTGGCAGAGCCCATCCTGGGACCACCTGCCTTGCTCTGGAGGGAGTGAAGAAGGAGGAGACTCTTTCAGGGGGCCCCCTGCCCTCTCCTGGGACAGCCAAGAGGAATAGTTAGAGGACATGACATGGGGATTTCTCAGTCCTTTTTCCCAGGCACCAGTGTGCAGAGCATCAGGGAGAAGATGTCCAATTTTCCCCTGCTTGGCTTCCCACTCCCCCTCCTCCATTCTTCCCATCGAAGGGGCTGGTTGGAGCAGCACGGCTCCCAGCTGGTACTCACCGCTCTGTCCCCTCCGCTGGGCCCACGCACACGTACACCTCGCACTGTGGGGCTAAAATATGCAGGGCGTCCCAGGGCTCTCCTGGGTCTGGGTTGCTGCAGGCATCATGCCCTGTGACCTCCACGGCATGCTCCTGTGAGGAAGAAGGGGGTGAAGTGGTGCTGTCAGCGTGTCAAGGATGAGGATGAGGGCTGCCCTTCGGAAATGCCTGCTTCTTCTACCTCCTCTGAGAGCAGCCTGGTCTCCAGGGCTCTTGGTGTCTCATCCAGCCCACCGTTGAGATTTTTCTCCTATTCCAAGAGGCCAGAGAGGCCCAGCGCGCTCCTATTTCATGCTGAATGCTGCAGACATCCCAGAGACTGCATGTGTGGATGAGGGCTCAGGGAAACTGCACCCCCACCTTGGCGTTGATGCTGCTGGCAGCTGCTCTCCCTTGCCACCAGGGTAGCTCAGGAAGAGGCAACGGAACCAAGAGGAAGGAAAATTTTTGCAGAAAAGGCTGTAGTCCCAGCCTCTGCCTCTGTCAGGGCTTGCAGGCGTCTCAGCATCCTCCCTGGCCCCGTTATCTGCAGGGCTTATGAGCAGCAGTGGGGGAGGCTCTGGGAAGTCAGCTGTCTGCCCTGCCTTCCCTCCAGTGTCTCTCCTGCACTGGGATTCACTTAGAGGTGACAGCTCTGAGCAGATAGCGGGTGAAGGGCTGAGGTAACCTTAGAGGGCCCAGGGCCAGGAGAAGAGAGGGAGAGGGCGAGAAAGAGAGAGGGAGGCTCATTACTATTTCATCATCCCTGGCCAGTCGCTCCTGGAGGACGGCAAACAACACGAAACCCTTTGTGAACATGAAACCAGCTGTCGCCCAGTCGGAGACAGCCAAGTAGCTTGTGCGTGCAGCTCCGTCCCAAAGGACCATGTTGGATCGAGGTATCTGGAGCCCAAGATCCCATGAGATTCACCCCTCTCGTGCCTTCCCTGCCAGGAACAGCTCACTGAAGCTGCCCCATGGCCAGGACTCAGCCCTGACCCTAAGCCAACAGCAGAGGCCACAGGTGAACCAACCAGGACCATATTTATGGTGAGGAAAGTTGCAAATGCCAGCAGGGATCAAGCAGAGATTAATCCAGGGTGCGTCCCTGCTCTTCCAATCCCCACTTCCCTCCTTATAGCTGCACACATATGACACCCCTGCTTTCCCTTCCAGGATCTTTCCTTTGTACCCAGTGTTCAGCCTTTCCTTGCTAAGGTGGTTCCCAGCTTTAGCCTAGGCACAGTTAAATGAGGGATTCCTGTGCCTGGAAAGACTCTTTCCCTATGCAGCTTTCCATCTAGAAATCCCAGCTAAGCTTTTTTCGTAGAGATTTCCGTCTCTACAAAGACAGGTGGAGTCACAAGAGGGAACAAAGGGGCCCCTAATGAAGCATCCATAGCCTCCAGGTGGGATGGAATAGCTCACCTGGATAGCATGCTGGTGAGCCCCTGCAGTTCGGAAACAGTGCTGACACAGGCTCTTTGCAAATATGTTGGCTTCAAAGTTCATGCAGGGCACGTCATCCACTGAACCAGACATAGTTCCATAACAGATGAAGATTTTTGGCTGCTGGACTGCTGGCAGAGGGCAACCAGGAGGAAAAGGAGGAAGGAACAGCAGCAGAAGACCAGAGCTTGGGGTCCCCCAGCCTCAGGCTCCTGTGGAAGCAGGGATGTTATTCCCAGGTTGAAGTTTTCTGCTCTCAGCTGTCAATACTGGAATCAAAGGGAACCCAGGTACAAGGTGATCAGTATGATCCATATAATTACAGATAATAAAAGGGTGTGGTCTAGCAGGGACCACCTTCGGAAGGGGGCATTGCACCCTGAAATGACTGCTGACATTCCCCCATTTGGTAGTCCTTGTGAACAGAGAGAATGATGCGCATGTCCTGCTATTTTGTTTGATGGAAATTTTCTTTCTTCAAGATATGTTAAAAGGCACAAAAAGAAAACCTTTCATCCTAACTATAAGTAACTTAGGAAATTTGGAAACCCACTGAGACTATTCCTAAACTTGTTGGTCCCAATAAAATTTCTGAGATAGGATAGCTGATTGCAAAACTGAAGGGCAACAAGCACTGCTAGCACAACAGCTGGGCTCCACACTTCTGTCCTGTTTTTTTGTAAGCATCCTGCCCACTATCACCTTCTCTGTTCTGCAGGCTTTGAGTGTGAATCCTTGGATTTGAAGATGTGATCTATGTTGGGAGGGCTCTGCCTAATTTGCTTGGAGGAGGCACCAACAGGACAGGAAACCAGTCCAGCATCCCTGATGTGAACATGCCACTGCTGCCCTAACATGGACACTCGGGTCAGAGCAGCTGACCAAAGGCTGCTCCCCAAACCAACCGGGGCAAACTGTCAACACCAAAATCAAGCTTTAATTTTCGTTTCTCAGAGCACTCATTTGCAATGCAGCAAGTTGCACTAGTGCCAGTCTCACAGCCTCCCTCCTCACAATGGGGCACGTTTTCTTGACTTGTTCGCACAAAATGCTAGACAGGAGCCTAAGCAACCCCTGGCAGGGATTCAACACGAAACACCCCAACATCGCTGCCCTCCCCTGCCCATGGACTGCCACCCGTGGCTAGAGCCCCTGGTGCCCCACTGCCTGATGGGCAAATCATTGCTCCCCACAGCCCTCGGGGCCTACTGCCAGGATAATGCTCTGATCCCCAGGACTCCTGGCATGCATGCATGCATGCAGCCATGCTCAGTGCTCCCAGTGGCTCCCAGTGCCCCCAGTACCTCAGTTTCCCTATGGCTCCCAGCACCTCGCCGCCCGCCGAGCTCCCCCCTCAATGAAGCTCGCCGTGGGAACCGCGGGGAGCGAGGCCCCGCCCCCGGCCCTCTCATTGGCTGCCGCCGAGCAGTGATTTGAATATCGCGCCCTGAGTGGCCGCCGGCGGCGCGCGGCTGCGGCGCCCACGGGTGCGGGCGCGCACGTGTCGGTGGCGGCGGGCGCGCGATCGACCCGGCCCGGCCGGGGCTGGGGGGAGGCTGCGACGGGGAGGGGGCTGCGGGGCAACCCCCCGCCCTTCCCCAGGGACCGCCCCACCGCCTGCCGAGCGTCTGCCCCAGTGCTCTCCCCCAGGCACCGAGTTAGGCCAAAACAGGAGTTAGCTCGAACCCGATACAGGTGCCAAAGCAGCGGACTCATCCGCAAGCATTGAGAGAGCCAAACGCCACCGTGTTCCCAGCACAGCTCCGACAGGAGGTCATGCCTACCCACAGCACTTCTCAGAGAGGTTTGTCTAATCTGGGCTTTACCTGACAAGCAGAAGCCCTGCCTGACCCTTGCTATTTCTAGTGGAATGTCCTTAACATTGCTCCTGCTACAGTTCAAATTCCTTCTCTTCCAAATTCTTTCTCTTCCCGACCCTAGTAAGCAATACAAAAAATTCAATTTCACCTTTTGTTTGCTCACTGAAGGCAGTTCACAATCCACTCTTCAAAACTATCTTTCCCAAACAACCCCTTATTCAGCTCCCTGAGTCCCCAAAAGTTCTTGTCACTCTCCCAATTACTTTTTTCCTCAAGTTCATTTCTGGAAAACAGTACTGGAAGCAGCAGTATGGCCAAGTACAGCCTTGAGCTTGATATGCTACAAAAGCAATAACTACAGTGCACTGATTATCACACAGCTCACGCACATGCTGCAACCATTCTTCCTTTGCGCTGCGCTCCAATTTTTCCCCAACTGTCTGACCTTTTTGGCTCTCAGTCTGGTTTTGATCCTCTGTAATCCCAATTATATTTTTGTGTGTGCACGTGTGCGGAATCACAGTCTAGCCAGTGAAAGCCATCATGCATGGAAAGCCCAGTGTGGCAGCCCACGTCAAAGCCTTGCGTCTCTGTGCGTGCCTGGGGCACACGCAAAGCAACGCGCAGGTGCCCGAGGTAACCCAGCTGCAGAGCCACGCGTGAAAAGCCTGTGGAAAAGGGAGTTCACAGGGAGCTGCTGGTCTCTGCTTTTCCTTTATGGAGCAGCTACTGCACTAACATGTTAATTTTTGCAGGT